AAAAAAAAAAAAAAAAAAAAAAAAAAAAAAAAAAAAAAAAAAAAAAAAAAAAAACAAAACAATTTTTACGTGACGTAGATGCTAATCTATTGTACAATAATTTATACCCACATTTTTCAATATTATAATCGATAGATCTGGCCATTAATCAATAAGCTAGACTTTAGTGCATCATTGGTTATGAAACTGCGTGAATCGCGCATAAAATAATAGCTACGTGTGCAAGTAGACTTTGATTCATTCTCGTGCGATAGGATATTCATCGTTTCTCAAATTCTTTTGATGAAAAACTCCACTGCAGATTTTCACTTTATATTGTTTTTGCCGAATATTCTGGCTGTGTCGAGAAAGTTCATCCGATGCGTCTCTGATTTATTTCATCGTCGTTTCAACCAAGTACTCAATCAATCAAATCTCAACCGAAAAACAACATCTTAACGTAGTTTCCCGATGTTTATTTCAATTTAATAATAAAAAGAGCAAACTTTGTTAAATCAGTATTTTGATTATCCGTGAGAAAGAAAAAAAAAGACAAAAAACAAAAAAAGTAATAGCCAGGAAAGCACGAGCCCTGTCTCTCCATCACAAAACATCATTTATCAGCTTCCACCTCACCATCCATCCTCGGCAGCCAAAAGTCCTTCCGATGCATTCCAGCCGAAAAATCATCGCCTCCTCGCGAAATATTTCCTCAAACGAACTGAAAAGGCATCGTGGAAGGCAAACTGAAGAAAAAAAAAAAAAAAAAAACAAAAAACAAAAAAACACCATTACGCCGGAGGAAGGAGCCATCTCTTACACCGCCGCTACGTAACGCGATACGAATCGGCGAAATAAATTAATCGGCATAGCAGCGCGTGCGCGCCACGCGGAGGCATCTCTCTCTCTCTCTTTTCTCCGTCCCTCGCATGTGCTACCGAATCGCGCGAAGATGCAATAAGAAAAAAAAAAAAAAAAAAAAAAACGAAAAAAGAAAAAATAAACGAGCCTTCACTGCAACCCGGCACCTCTTGACCCCCCATCTTCGCGCTCTCGCACACACACCGCAGAGATATGCACGCGTGCTGCACGCATACATACATGTATGCAAACCGATATCCTCCTCTGTACACCGCTATCTTTTACGGTCGATTTCACTCGCGCGGGGCTTCTACTTTTTTTTTTTTTTTTTTTTTCGTCACCCCACATCAGAGGATGATCCTCTTTCACTTTCGGCTCGCAAGTACATACGCAAGCTCACACCGAGCTATACGAGCGTGTTGCGGTTGGAAATACGCGTCGGTCGAGGAATGCCGAGCTGCTTCTGTGCCTCGAGATTGGAAAGAGAACAATATAAGGGTTCTCTGATCGTTGCGTGATTTTTGCGATGCACCACGGCCGTTGGAACGAAAAAAAAAAAAAAAAAAAAAATAGTGTAGAGTGTCTTTTGACCAATCTGACGGCTGATCGGGAAATTCGACTATAATATAAATATATACGTGTATCAACGCATACGTATACGAACTTACAGCGGGGCAAAAGTGACGAGGAAAAATATATCTGCTATCTTTGCGAGATCGCGAGAGCAATAAAAAAAAAAAATATATATATATATATACACACATAGGTACGGGTGTGTATACACACATATTATAATGCACGTGATGTGTATAATATACTATATAATATAGGTAGATTTGTACGTCGGCGAGGCGCAAAGAGATTAAACTTTTCCTCTATTGTAATTTACAGGGCACGATTTGAGATGGATTAAAACGAGCTCGGCTTGTAACAGTCACTTTGCGCTATCGCCTTGTCCCCGTGTCTTTATTGAGCGTGTAGTTTTTTTTCCACTTCGAGGGTGTATATATACCGTATGGAACACGTTTTCAGGGACTTCGTGGTAGGCACACACACACACACACCTCGAACGGCACGAGGGTCTGCACTTGTTTATTACGTATTTGCAGTCAGGTGTCTCTTTCGGCTGCATCACTCCGCTGCCGCATTTTCGCCGGCAAAAGAGTAATACCTATACCCACTCGTACCGGAGACGTCTCGGTGGCGATTTACGCGCCAGGGTGTAAATCACGCGGGTCCGATGCGCCCATCCGTATACGGACGATAATTTTTGTGTTTTTAGATAACCGAGGGCCAGGGAGTGCCAAGGGACGGCGGACAGCTTGATTGATTTAGAGAACTTGCACTTTGGCTGCTACGGGGGTCTCGCTCACTGGCTGGAGTTGATTTGGTTTTCAAAGGATAGCTCTGCCCACTGTCTTGTGCTGCTGAAGCGCTCAAAAGCATTCATTTTTTTTTTTTTTTTTTTTGATACAAACATCATCCTATGGACATTTTGTATTGTACATTGTACCAATTTAATAAGGAAAAACCAATGAATTTCGAAAAAAAACAAAAAAAAACAAAGTATACCCAAAACAACAAACGACCGATCCAGTTGCGCACGAGAGAAAAAAAGGCCCCTCCCCCTTTTTAATCGTACATAATAGCTCATAAAAATTCATCGAGCCGGCACGTCGTATATATACCTCCCGCTAAATTATCCGCGTTCATATTTACAAGGCACGCGCTGCCCATCACCACGGGCTCTTCGCATCACCACTGTACATATAGCGCACCTTTTTCTCTGTCTCCCCTCCTCTGCCACCCTCCTCCGTATATATACATATATACATAAGTGCATCAAGCGGGTTTTTTTTTGCCCCGACGTGGCGCGTGCCCACGCGCATGCAGCTTCTTCTTCTTCTTCTTCTTCTTCTCGGCCGAACTCAATTACACTTGACATAAGCGTACCGGGCGCTGAGTACAACCCTATACGTGTATAAATGCACGAGCCGCGCGAGAGAGAGAGACGCGGAGGAATCTCCGCCACGGCGTAATTGAAAATAATCCGCGTATTTTCTCCCCCCCCCCATCCCCTTCCCACCGCTATCTGCAGCAGTGACGTGTGCAGCGGAATACTCGCATCGAATCGATTTCAATTGGAGGAAGATGGGGACATGATATATTATGTATATGTATCGGAGGCGAGTGGCAACACGTCGTTTTGCCGCGTGGATAATTGCTGCGCTGCTGCGGCCAAGAGATCTCAAGAGGTACACAATTGGTCTGCGCGGCTCGCGTATGATACCCTGCTACTGCGCTCTAAACATCATCTGTCCGCTTTGACGCGACATTTGATTTGATGTCGCTATTATGTAACTATAAGTATATGCTGTATACTCGCTTCCTATTGTCTGTATAAATATACAGTGTCGATTTTCACTTTGGGGATGCGTCCGATTGTGCTTGCGTGACCAATCGAGTGCTCCGATTCTACTCTTACATGCAACAGCTCTGGTTACTATTTATTATTATGTTATTTTTTAATTTTTCCGTATCACATCCTGTATGCATGAATTATTCTTTTCCATTGCTCGTATATTTTACCGATACTTTGAACTTTTCGAGAAAATAAACGCAATTTTCCCGAACCGTTCAAAGTGCCAATTAAAATATATACATGATGCATAAATGAGCACGAACTACATGATATCGTAGCGCTCACATTATATATATGTATATATGTATGTACGTAACAAACAGCAACAGTGGCAATGATAATGTAAAAATATTTGTGCTTGTTTTGTGATCCGTGCAGAATGTTGGACAGCTACGAGCGGGGCGAGGTGACACCACCGCCGTCGAGCGGGTACGCGGGCTCGCCTGGTCTGCTGGCGCTTCACTCGTCGTTGTACGCTACGCCCACGTCGAGGGCCTTCGACATAGACTCGGGCATCGACGGCAACGAGAGCCCCATGTCGATGGACACGCAGATCATACCGGTAAGAGAACAAAAAGTCCTTCTCTCTCTCTCTCTCTCTCTCTCCCCGGCGAGCCTTTTCCATTTCCTCGGACCGGAAATCGGCGATCGGTTCACTCTCCGCGGGAAAGAAAGAGAAAGAGAGACGCTCCGTCGCGCGCCGGCGACCCGCAGGATTGGCACTTTGCTCCCTCGAGGCGAAATGGCACGTGAAAGGGGCCGGGGTGTCCCTGGGAAATAAGTTGAATAATTTACGCCAGTCGGGCATCTTTATCTTCCCTTCCTTCGTTTCGCGGCGCGTGTATACATAAATGACGGGACGGCCGATCCTTTGCTCCCCCACTGCTCGGTAAATTACCGATTTTAAAAGGAATTTCTTTCTTGGCCGCTCCAAGTGAAATCTGTGCTCTTGCTTTGGTAACCGATGCTCATTTTCGAGGGGGGGATGAGTTAACGCCCGTCGGAGCGAAGCGAGCCTAAGCGCGGGTATTTTCCACGCGTCAATCGTACTTGTGACGGACAAAAATAACAACAACAAAAAATCTTCCACTCGTCCAGATGCCGGGGATGCTGAGCGGAGGTCAGCAGCGGCTGGACGACATGTCGTGGCTGGCGACGGGGCCGTCGTTGCAGGATTACCAGCAGGGCTTGGGTCCGATGGGCGCCGGGGTGAAGATGTGCCATCCCGGGGCCGCCTCGGCGGCTGCCAGGAGCCTCAAGGAGCAGCGCATCCGGCGGCCGATGAACGCCTTCATGGTGTGGGCCAAGGTCGAGCGCAAGAAACTCGCCGACGAGAACCCTGACCTCCACAACGCCGATCTCAGCAAGATGCTCGGTGAGTTTGGCCTCCTTTTCGTACATTTGTCACCTTCGCGCCGATATAACAGAGCTTACGTTGCAACAAGTATACGTTGGGCGCACGAGGGTGGACATTGGGGCTTGTGGGCTTTCAGGGGAACTTGGCCAATGATGGCCACTTGAACTATTTTCTTCCATAAGATTACAACTAAATGAGGGCAGCACCGGTCGTGCACCTGGCCTATACCGATCGCTTCGATGCTTTCCACGTGTCGCCGAATCGTCCGCTCTGGCTTATACACGTATATATGCAACCCATTCTCAACTACCTATTACATTTTTTTTGCCTCAGTTTTATGGGTAGCGTACAATGTAATAGCTTTTTGATTCGTTTGGTCTATACTCCGTATCGCAAGTATCGCGTGCAAGATGAAAGTATTTTTGCAAAGAAAGAAAATTGAAAATGGGAGAGATCGGTATACCTCATAGGCGTATACGTGTGCTAAATTTCACGTGCTTTGTTGCTTTCACGCCGAAACGAATCAAAGATGTATCAGACAAAAAAAAAACAAAAAAAAAAAAAAAAAAAAAAAAAAAAACGCCACACTCCAATCGTCGAATCGTATCGCAAGACCGCGAGAAAGATCCCATCGAGGTGGAGGCTTTTTTTTTATTTCTCAAAATCGCCGACGCACTCCTCCGCTTTCGACTAATTACCCTCGACCCGAAGCTCCGAACAAAAAAACACACGCCTAGACGACGCAAAACCCACTAATCAGGAAGGTTGATTTTTTTTTTGTTTTTTTTTTTTGTTCGCCTCCACACGTCGCAATCCCGTCGTGTATACATACGGAGGGAAAATAAGTCGTCGCGGAAACCTCGCGCCTCTTTGGCCTCCCTCGCCCCCGTTGCTGTGGGAATAAGAAAGCCAAGGAGATCGGAGGCTAGAGAAAAGAGTTATTATTTTAATTATAACGCGCCAACATCAGAGCCCTCCCCCCCCACATACTCACACGGTGAAAGGAAAGAGGAGATCCTTCTCTCCTGTGGGGGGGCCTTTTTTTCCTCCTCTCGCGTATAGATACACGTATATACACGAGCTCGCTCTCCCGGCAGTGTGTATATACATACATCTTTTGTACCTCGAGAGCCGATCCTCCGTCGCGGGTCGCTCCAGATCACGTTTCGAATCAAGGTCGGCGTAGCTCGCGCGCTCTAGTACCTATACATATACATATAACGTGGAAGAGGAAAACCTCGCCTCCTTGCCGCGTTGCTCCGCTATTTATTCGCCCATGTGTGTCTATGGTACACGGCAAAATCGTGCGGCGCAGGTGAAGGCGGAGGAAACAAAAAAACGAAAAAAAAAAAAAAAAAAAAAAATCAACGTTCACCTTGCTTATATACTCCTTCGTTAGGTCAGATGGTAACGATTACGAAATCACCTCGCGAGAGAGTTAACAGTAAAACTTTGGCGCCTTTTGCTCCGATTCCTGTTGTTGTTTGGCTCTCGAACGGCCTCGGTGCACGATATACATACGGTTGAGTACACCAACATTGCCCAATTTTTTCGTTCGGCCGCGCGAGTCGATTTAGCGCTCCCTTGGGAAAGACAAGGGTCTTGCGGGGGATCATTTTTGCGTCTGCTCGTTTCTACTGTGGTGTGAGGAGTTGGGTGAAAAAGAAAAATGCAGCTTTCAGCTTACAGAATCCGGGATTTCAAACGATTTCTTCGAAAACAGCGACGACAACCAAAATAAAAAGTCAAGGACTATGCATATGTTGTGCCATTAATTCCTCATTCGATTGACAATAATACCCAAGTGAGTCTCTTTTTATTCCACTGTGCGCTTGGAAATTTCTTCAAATTAAAAAAAACTTTTCTTAAATAATATAATTTATTTGTTCATAACAGATAAGTTCGATAGCTCAGTTAGTAGGGGTGAATTTAAGCGAGTGGCGGTTACCAAATGCCAGTTGAAGAACAATGTATCGTGCTATTAAAGTCACGTTAGTCATGAATAGAAACAGTATCGCAGACTCACAATGATTAAATCGGTACCGCCATAGCACTCAGGGGTATATATGTATGTACGGTATGGTAAGAGGATGTGTCCTTTTTCAAAGTATTTTTTTTTTTTTTTTTTTCACATTTTAGGAATCTATATACAATTGTATACGTGTATTCCAAAAGCTATCGATAAACCCGTAAAGAACAATCAACGGCGCTATACCATCTTTGATACCAAATGGAAAAGAAGCAAGAGATAAGCCAAGCTCCCCTTGTTATCGGTACGCCAAACCTCGTCGCAAGATGAATTATCGTCAGATCGGTAGCAGCAGGTGGCTGAGATATTGGCGCGCGGATGTATATTTATAGCATACACCATAGCTCCAGGAGTCTATGCGATCTCATCTTTTCCTCTTCCAATCGCCTCGAAAGTACATAGCTTTCTTCATTATTGCCAGCCCGGCAATTTCACCACAATTTGCCCCCAACGCGCGTAATTTTGCCCAAAACAAAAAAAGAGAACGGGAAATTTTTGAAAAAAACAACCGGACGCACCCGCGCTCACGGTACGATACAGGGGATTAGGTATAATTACTTGGGGAAAAAGTGATATAGCTTCTTCGTATCGCGATTTTGTATCGCGCAGGTGCCGATCGAGTGGTCATTTTTCTTACCGGTGTACAACCGCTCGCGAGTACAGCCCAAAGGCAGACGAGGAGGAAGTGTTACCCCTCCTGTATATACGAGCCAATATCTACGAGATCGAAAGGAAAATCTTACCATACGCGCACAAAGAGCTCTGCACTTTGGTTCGCGTTTCACACGACGTTTCACGTGTTTCCGCACCAAACGTCACTGGCGTTGTAATATATAATCTAAGATATACACACGAAAGCAAAAAAAAAAAAAAAAGGGACTCTCTTTTAAACGCCATTTATTGCCTATTGTTCGTTGATATTTCAATTCGCAACGCCACAGTCTGCGACGGGGTGGTCTATTTCGCAATTGCGCATAAGTATGTACTCTCTCCCAATACGTTTTTCGCACTCCCCATCAGCTTAACGGATGGTACACATCGCGAAATCCATTATGGATCAATGGCCAAAGGGAAAGGGAAATTATATCGATATCGAATATATGAACCATCGGTATCGATAGCCTTACATTTGTCAAACTCCGGTGACAACGATAAAGTAATGTCATTTGTCGATCACACCATATACATATATTTGGACTCGGTAGCAACATCCCCACACACACACACACACATCGTTTCAGAGCACCAAATGTCAATAAGGTAATATCGAACGAGTCTCTCGCAGGTGGTATTTTTTGGTCTTTCCTCACTCGCGGCTGTTTTTCCTCGATGCATAAAGTTCTCCCGGGTATGGGTGGAGATGGAAGGAAGCGCGTAAATCATACGAGAGCCACCCGCGCGCCTCCTCCGATGAAAAATTCTTTCTATGTTTACCGCCTCTCTCTCTCTTCCCCTGACGCGTGTATATATACATATACATATACGGGATCGAGGTTTATACATTGGCACACTGGTGATTATATTATGCGCCTCGAGTGTCGTCCGCCCCCACCGTCCTCGGTGTGTGTAGGCTCTATGCATGCCCTAGCCGTGCTCTTTTTCTTCTTCTATGATAAGTACTTCTCGGTATGGCCGACTCCAACCGTCCCCCTTGTTCCGTCCTCACCTCGGGACATTTGCACCCAAACACGTGGGACGCTTTGATTTCTATACTTTTTTTTTCCTTCTCCTACGCCCTTATTTTACACTCCAAGAGCGTTGGCTTGAAATAAGTTTGAGCTTTTTTTATACCTTCGTTGTGGTCATGGATCCACTGATAAACAATTCGTTTTTTCCTGCCTCGAGAGTCCCCATATGGACGAGGAGTCGTTACCAAATGGCCAACGATTAACAGTACAATTGCATGTATGACCGATCACATGTACCCGAGGGGTTGTCAAAATAGTAGAATAGTTGGCCCACAGTGTAAAAAAAAGGTGGGTTTCTTCTTCTCGCTGTATACAGTGTCACCGATAATTTGGTCAGCCTATATAATATGTATGGACTAGAGTAATGAAAACTGACTTTAATCCTTTCGACTGTATTTTTGCACCCATTGTTCGATCACTACAAATGTGTGTAAGGACAAGTAAGCGTCAGCCAATGAAAATCCAACATCTCATTCGAGCGAAATCACAAAGTAAACATTTTTTTTTTCCCGCGTCACTTTAACAGTTTTGGCCGTGTTTCCTCACGCCTCGCTTCACACGTATACGTCGCACATAATAGACACACTCGCGTAGTATTGTTTAGATTTTTCGCCAAACCTTTTTCTTCTTCTTCACGCCTTGCAACTTTATTGTATGTACACCCGTTTCAAATTTAATTCAATCGAGTTACGTAACGCCATGCCCTGTGCATTAAATCTTGCTAGTTTCGTCAGAATTTCCCTAATTTTTCAAGGAAAACTCCTTGGACCTTTAATCGCTTCACCCCGAATTTACGTAAACTCCGTATAAAAAAAAAAAAAAAAAAAAACATCCAAATGGATTCCCAAACTTTTACGCTTTTCCGATCGTGCGCACCGGCATTTTGTTGTTCAATGTCAAACAAAAATGCTACGTAATATACAAGTTGGAAATCGGTAAGAGATGGGGAAAACAAATCCGCGCGGAGCACCCAAACGAAAGGAGCTCGACGTTGGTTGAGAGGCTTTTTGCGCAACGCAGGGCCCAGAGACAAAAGGGCCCATATACAGGTTCGAGCGAGAGAGAGAGTCAGCTTCATTATACAAAACAAAAGCCAATTCCGCGAGAGAGAGAGGCTCGAAAAGAGGGCAGAGCCGCATTTTTCCAGACACCCGGTCGGCTCCCCTCGTCTGGCCGCTTCCTCGTAACCTACCTCCCTCCCTCCCTCGTGCGAATAAATCGGGCCCCAGCTTTTTCTCTTATACATATAACGCTCTACACTCGTACACGCGCTGCGAAGGACTCCCCGGAGCCTTACACGC